AATCTAAATTTAATTATTTGTTCGCTATTTAATAGATAAAAATATAATGAATAAATCAAATACTGAATATTAGAATAGCTTGATGATAAGATCTTATTAGCTAAAATTGCTTATTGAAGGTATTTTAGCCTGCTGAATTATCTTTGAAAATTTTTTATATATTGGTGAATTCCTAAAATCTAAAGTTAATAACTATACTTATCAATATGAATGGACTAAGAAATTTCTTATTTGTACTAAACATTATGGTATATTTATAAAAATGAAAAAAAATTTGACTACTAATATGCAATACTGCTTTTATTGTGTTAATCAAAATTCTCAAGGTATATAAAGTTTTACGTCTGACAAGACACAACAAAATGTATTAGAGAGTAGAGAAAACAGGTAAGACATGTTATTAAATTTTAAGGTTTAGTATTGATTGATTGATTAATCTATAATTTGGTAATTAAAATTGGTTTTAGTAGCAAATACACCATAATAAAATTGTCAAATTTGGGTTAATAGAAACAAAAATAAGTGGTATTTGTGTGAAATCTTTCAAAAAGTTGAGGACATAAAGTTGATCGTAAATAATAGTTTGTATGATAAAAAAAAAAAATTTTAGGAATTACCTTGTTTTTGAGTTTCAGTAAAACTAATAAACTTGCTTTCTACATATAATGTATTGTATTCTAAAGTTAAAAGACAAAATTTTAAATTTTAGAAAATATATACTCTAAATACAATTGATCTGATACAACCAGATATTTACTCATCAACAAGGTAATATATACTGTATATGAATGTTATTAAAAGAAAACCCAAAAATTTAAATATAAGTCATATTTAAATTTTCAGGTTTTCTTTTAGTGATACTCATATCTGATATAATATAATCTTAAATGAATGTTTTAAATAATGAATAAATTATATATTTATTTCTAATTCAGTTATGATAGATATTCGTTAAGTTGGGCCTTAGCTAAAAGTGAAAAAAATAATCAAAAAGAATCTTGGAAACGAATAACTAAACAAATTAGAAGTTTATTAGAAAATATATTTCATGCAGGAACAGTAGATAATAATAACAAAATATTAGGTGAGAAAATGTATGAAAAATTGTTAAAACAGGTTCAATATGGTGAATTTGACCAAAGTGATATTCTGAAAATAATTACTATTAATAATTAGATTACAATATTTAGTTGTAAGTAGAAGCAAGATATGGCAAGGCTTTTTTTAGAGGTATCTGAAACCTCTAACACATAATTTTTTTTCATATTATTTACTTTATATATGGAGTATCATATATTGAAATTCAATTTTTATATATAATAAAGTTGTTAGAATTTGATGTTCATATGTAATAAGTCTTTTTTTTGTCAAAGTAACATGAAATTTTTTTAAAAATATATATTTACAAATATTTTTGTACAAATTGTCTTTTTTGTTATACAGAATTATTTATTTGTAGGGAATTTGTCAAACTTGTAACTTTATGTATTTTAGATAATCTCTTATTAAATTGATAAATTTTTATCCCAAATCATATATATAAAATAGTGCTGATCATAATCAGATCATCAATTAAAGTAATTATTATATTATAAGATATTATGGTTTAATTAAACTTATTAAATATTCTTTTGTATAAAATTAAATATCTTCTTATATAAAATTAAATATTTATTTATATAAAATTAAATATTTTTTTTGTATAAAATTAAATATTTTTATATAAAATTGATATCAAAATAAATAATATATTATTATTATAATAAATTTTATTAAAGTAGATCTCTATTATATTAGAGTAATTATCTAAATATTTTAAACTTTTATTACTAAATTTATACTATATAATACTATAGCAGATATACATTATAATAAATAAAATTTTCTAGCTTAATTACTCTGTTATAATGAAGATAAAATATAAACAAATTTTAAATATCGAGTAATAATATAAAATAAAACAGGTAAATTAATAAAAAAAATATAAATATTAGTATTTTTGTAATGTAGTAAACTAAATACTTTTAGATTTTATTGCTAAATAATAAAGTATATCTTTAAAATATAGTTCACAATTCTAAATCTTTTTAATTTAAATCACTACTTTCAATATATAAAGAAATCTGATTTGGCTATATTTGACTATTCTATAAAAATAAATTGTCAAAAGAAATCAAAATATTAATTATATCTAAATTTTTATATTGTTATAAACAATTGTAATATTTCTAGCTTGCATTTTTATCTTTCTCAAATTTATAAAATAGAATTTATTAGTACTCAGTCTCATAAAAACTAAGTAACTGTGTTATCTCAAACTGAATCTACCTTTAGATAATTATTAGTTGAATAGATTACAAGTGATAATTTTTTATTTATAATTGTTAAATCTAAAAGTTTTTGTAAGGTTGCTAAAAGAATAAATATTTTATTTTCTTCTACTAATATACTAAAATATAATTTAATACAGCAATATAAATTTTTTTTTTTTTTTTTATTTTACTAAGGCCAATATTACAGGGCTACTGCTTTTATTTGTGTTTTTAGTTAATGTATTATATATAACTTGTACAAGGTGAGTGTGCAACCAGCCACACGTGCAACTTTTGGTTGCCTAATTTAAGTAGTCCG